CCCCAGGCCCGTTCTGGTCCTCAGAACGTCCCCATCAGTGCTGCTCGCGCGGGGCCCTCGCCGGGGTCCCCCATGAGAGCACCCAGATATCTGCCTCATTGACGCTCCTACGTAGGACGGCGGCCAAAGCGCCCTCTTTCGTGTCGCTGCCCCGAACTGCTTTCTCATAGGCTTCGTTCTGCGTAGCCCCCCGGCATTGCCTCCTCGAGGACAGCCCCCCAGATGCCACCAGTGTTGCCTTCCCCAGGCAGACCAGCCGCCCCTGCACCCTCCTTTAGTAGACCCTATAGGTTGCCCCCGAAGAGTGTTGCATTTGCGCTTTATAACGGAATGTCCCCCTTTATCTCTGCCCCCACACACAGCTCCCAGAACTCCCAACCACCCCCTCAACGCCCCCTTCGCTGGGGTAAAAATACTTATTCTTCTGGTCAGCAGCCAAGAATGCTTTTTTTATCTTTTGCACCGCCCTCCTCCCAGTCATTCCCCGGGAAAATACCCCTTTCAACACCCCCAGACCCTCCCGGCATTGAGCAGCTCCCTCTAGAGGTGTGTGCTCACACCCACATCCTCTCCCCCTTCAGGTAGGAACAGCCCGGGCTCGCACCCCATCCTCCAGGTCAGGTCTTCCCGCGGGGCAGTGCCCCACCGAGGGCCTCGTCCTACTCTGTCCCCTCTCAACCAGCTCTTGCTCCGTCCTCCTGGACCCCCTGGAGCCGGCCCCCCAGTCTCCCTGGGCGGGAGCTCTTCTCCCCAGGCATCCATTCACTCCCTCCTCCTTGAGGGATGTGCTCTGTTCTGGGTCCCATGCAGCTGCGAAGGAGGAGGAGGCACGGTCTTCCTTTCTGTCGGTTTTACTGTCCAGTTGAGACCGATCAAAAACAAGTAAACGAGCATGATCAGTGGTGCTTTCTGAGAGCCTGGTAGCTACTTCCGAGCTGCAACCTGACTGAGCAGAGCGCACTTTGCCGTGCAGATTTGGGGGGTTGTTGCAGGCAGAGGGCAGAGCAGCGCAAAGGTCCTGAGCGGGGCGTGATGGTGGTGATGGGGGTGTGAGTGGCCGGAGAGGCCCCTGAGGTGGGAGCCAGGGGAGAGGATCTGTGATCTTAGAGGGCCATGGCGGTGAGGGCTTTGTGATCCGTTATTTGGCCTTTGTCCCCTCTACCAAGCCCAGAATGCATTTCATCTGTCTGTTCAGCAGCTGTTTAATGAGCACCTACTGCACACTGGGTATGCGACAGAGAGCAAACTAGACAGGACCCCTTGTCCCCATGGGGTGCATGTGCTGGTTCGTGGGGTAGACAGTTATAAAACACGTCTGTGTGAAGGAAATACAGCAGGATGAAGGCACAGGGTTACAGGGACTGCGGGGTTAGAGGATGGTAAGAAGGCCTCTTTCAAAAATTTCCCGGCCTCATCTTGTCCTTCACCAAAAAGGTAGCCCTCCTCCAGGACCACTGTGGCCCACCCTGGGCATTGCTCTGAGCTCCTCCCCACAAGAACGAGATGGTTAACAGGCTGAGCTCTGGGTGCCACTGGTGTTCCTGTTGCTGAGCAAACCGCTCCCTCTTCTTCCAGCCTCGTTCTCACTCACTTAACAAGTATTTTTGGAGACAGGCACTGTGCTGGGTCCTGGGGGTAGAGCAGTGATCAGAACACAGTAAAGATCCTGTGTGCATGGAGCCCCCCTTCTGGAGGGGAGGCCACCCCAAGACAGACCAGCAGAGTGCACGGTTATTAGTGTGTGGCAGGGAGAGGGGGGCAGCGGGAGAGCGGGGCTGCTGGCCGGGTGACAGGTTACAGGGTCATGGAGAGCCTCACCGAGGAGGTGACATTTGAGCGAAGACATGCAGGTGGTCAGGGGGTGAGTCAGAGCATTCCGGGCGGGAGCCGCAGCCAGTGCAAAGGCCCGGGCGGGGATGCCGCTGGCACACTGTGGGCAGCCAGAGGCTGTGGGCTGTGCAGGTCATCACAGGGCCTTTGAGTGACGTGGGGGTCACTGCAGGGGTTCAGCAGAGGAGGGATGCGGTTTGGCCTTGGTCCTCCTGCCTACAAATGACCTTGAGTCTGTCATGAAGTTCAGTTGAGACAAGCCACACAAGACACCCACAGCGCTTGTTGGCCTTCGGTAACTGCCGGGGGCTGGTCCGGGACAGTGTCAGGGAAGTGGATGAGACTCAGTGTGTTTGCAGTGTAAGGTGGAGTGGGACCTCATTTGGGAGGAATATTGAACGGCAGCATGTCGTGGATAAGAGCCCGCACTGGAGCCCTGCTGCCTTCCTGTGACCCCTCGCCCTGCGACCTGTGAGTGGTGTGACTTCAGGAGATCCGTTGACCGCTCTAGCCCTCAGCCTCTCCCTCTGTGAAGAGTTCCTAGTTGTAACCATTGCTAGGATTATCAGGAAGACTCGCTGAGTGGACGCTCTAAAGGACTTAGGCGTGTACTTGGTGTGTAGAGAACACTCATTCAGTATCACATGCTACTCAGCGATGGCGAACCTATGACACGCGTGTCAGAGGTGACACGCGAACTCGTTTTTTTGGTTGATTTTTCTTTGTTAAATGGCATTTAAATATATAAAATAAATATCAAAAATATAAGTCTTTGTTTTACTATGGTTGCAAATATCAAAATATTTCTATATGTGACACGGCACCAGAGTTAAGTTAGGGTTTTTCAAAATGCTGGCATGCCGAGCTCAAAAGGTTCGCCATCACTGTACTAGATGTTACCATTATTGTTACTGTATTAAACTAGTATGTTATCATGAGGCAGCTTGTTGCAGGGGAGTGGCCCATAGGTCTTGGCATCAAAGAGACTGGGAATCCCAACCTGCTTTCCCCTAAACTGGCTGTCCGACCATGGGAACACACTCCCCGTTCCTCAGTTTCCCCACTTATAAAATGGGACCAGTAACGGCAC